GTTCTGCCCACACACCGCCCAAGCTGCATAGCTACGAGCACAGCTACAGGACATGGGGGCACGCACCGGGGCAACCGGCTCTTAAGGGCTCCAGCTATTCACACGCAAAGCATAGTTTGGGAGTGTGATTCATTGGCAGGTGTCATGTCCAAATGACTCTGTGCGTGTGTGTATAGAGTTCGCATAGCATATCACGCACAAGCATGCAACAGTGTCAGCACAGCTGCAAGCCCCCCCTGTTTTTGACAGCAACTTGCAAAATCTCCTATGGGAGGTCATCACATGACATGCTGCTCTCTTTTTTCAAACTGCACCCACAAGAGATAATGGAACCTATTTGCTTTATTTTTCATATGTCTTCAGCACAGTAGGGCTTTGCTGTGCTCCAGCAGGATACCATCCAAGAACGGCTTCGAACAGGGGGCCAGAACCTCTTCGTGCAAGAGGGCTGGATGATGTCAATGGGAAACAAGAAGGTGGTGAAGCTCTCCTGGAGGTGGTGAAATGAGGGTCGCCATGAGGGAAAGGTCCGAAAGGGATTGCAACATGAAGGCTCCACAGCCAGTTAAAGTTCAATCACGTACAACGCACGAAGTCTTCGTTTCTTCGTGAAGGAGTGTAGTCGTTTGGAGACGGATTTTCGTTTGTTTGACTGCAATCGCCAGGTGCGAAGGAGCAGAGGGGAAAGTGTCCATTTGCTGGGATTGGGATGTGAAGCTGGAAGACAAAGAGAAGTGACTCCAGCCCTTTAGGTTTAGGGTTGCAAATGGCAAGCGGGAGAAGAGGGTATTGGTATATGTATGTACAGTACATGTAACGGGCTTTTGTAGCTCCTAGGACTTTGCCACATGGATTTTACAAGGCCGTGACCTGTCCTTGTGAAGATCACTCCCGCAGCCAGCCCCGCTTGCATCAGCAGCGTTGCTGCAGATGCCTTTGCATGTACAGCTGCACAATTCGAAGAGGCTGCACTACAACCTGCATTGCCGTATTTTATGATTCACCTGGACCTGTTCAACCTCAGAATCAGAAACCTGGCGGGCATCAAACAACAATAGTGTACGCAACACTGCTGTCGGAGTTCGCACTGTTTCTTTAGTACTTTTAATATGGTCAATTCTGAGTTTTCATGCCACTGGCAACAACGAGGGCACAGTAATGCCAATGGTGCAAAGCGATGCTTGACACGGTCCTCTAGGTGAATTTGCAGCCCTAATTTGTTCCAGCTTCCTGGCTCCAGTGCCCGAATCTGTGATATCCAGCAGGGCAAATTTCAAGCTGGAGCAGCCCCGTCCAGTGCCACTGTTGAGCAGAAGGCTGTGCAGCGGTTGCGCCTCAAAACAGTCACGCAGCAAACGCGGCGATGTTGGGGCAGAATCCAGTTCGTTGACATTCCAAGCCTCAGTTGGCTTGACCAAGAGAAACATGGAATTTTGTAGGCTTCGCTTTGGGCCGCAGGTGGAAGGCTGATGACAATAATCTAATGGGGTACGGGTACTCTCAGTCAAACTCCAAGGGCCATGCAGAACATTTGACAACGTCTTGCTGCAGCCATAGCACAGAGATCCACAGAGATATGAACTTTACAACCTGAAGCAGAATCTGCAGGGTTTGAAGGATGAGTTTATCGCAATGGCTTCGCTTGATGCGTTGGATTTGGAACTAAAGGAGACAGAAGATGCACTTCGCCTTATCGAGGACTGGTCGGGGTTCCTGTTATTTCTTCATTGCTCTCCTTTTGCAAGGCCAAGCAACACTCCAAGTGCGATACATCAAGCTCATATGGATCCAGCTCTTGTTATTCTGTGGCTGTGCACTGCAGGAAGAACTTGGAGGCTTCAAGACCAGGGATGACGGCTCACAAGGTGACATTTGACTGGTTCTTCTTTCACTAGTACTGCAGTTACAGCTGAAATCGTCAACAGATCAGCATTTTAGAATTGCTGCCCTACTCTGTACGATTAGCGCATGTCTTTGGTAGGTTCCTTCATTTGCCAGAAACACCGTTGCCAGACAACACTCTGTTTGCTCTGCGCCAAAGGTGCGACATTTGACTCGCTTGGTGTAGAGATGTAGCAATGTAGAGCTTCTGGCTGTGCAGGGAAGAAGGATGCTTGGAGGGTCCGGGTAACCCGGTGCAGATTCAGACCCCCAATCAGACTTGCCAACATTGGTTGTTTCTATGCAGAGTTGTTGGGGTTCTCAATTCTTGCATAGAACAGTGTATCACGGAACTGTGTCATGGCATGATTCCTTGTTTGCTTCCCCACTTGTTTCTCCACTGAGTGGCTGTTGGGACATGATACCTTTGCGCGTGGCAAACAATTGTTTTACGACTTGCACGATCCACAAAGTTTGCCTTCTGTTTGCGGTCTGTAATTTTACCTTCCTCTTGCATGTGTAAAAAGCAAGGTGGAAGGCTGGAAGGATTTTGTGCACAAACGCAAGGTACATCGAAGCCAGTCCATTCATGTCCATTCTTCTCGTTCTATAGCAACTATAAACACAAGAACATTGGGTGTAATGCGATGACTCAGGTTCCTGGACGCTGCTGTCGAGCTAGTGACTTGCCGAGGCAAATGGCCCAGCAGCTGCAACTTTTGCATGAAAAGGTGTTAATTCACCCGATTTCCAACTGGGTTCAAAACCTGCAGAAGATTGAATAGTCGCACACCACCCACTATTTGATGAGGCAGTGAACATGAAGCATCCTGTGATATGCCTCATGGATTCTTATTCTAGTGCAATTACTGCGAAGATTGAGCAAGACCCGAGTGAAACACGATATGTCCAGAATTACAAAAAGGCAAAAAGACAGCAGCAACCGGGCCATGATGAACGACACTAAACTGAGCTGTACATTTCAAACCTCCTTGAAGAGCGATGGGATTCTGCCGTGCCATTCTGCATTCTGTGGTCCTGTCACTGAGTTGGTCGCTTGAAGAAGTGACAATCTCCGTCGATGCCTCCTGGCCTGTCCTGGCCAGTCCTCTTTCCACAGTATTACTGTATTGATTTATATTCCTTTTTTTCCTTTGATTTTCTTGCTGTTACTATACAATTCCAATTCTTTATTTGGCGGCGTTTGGTGGTGGGTCCTTGGTTGCTTATGGCTTATGCTCGATTCACTCTTCAACTTTTGGCGCATGCCGCAACTTTTATTTTCATCGTGGGGTGCTGCTGAAAACAGAAGTGGCTGTCAATTTGTTCAAAAGATGATGTGAACCAATGTTTTTGGTGAAGGTGCGTTCATTGGATCGAATTCTTGTACTAGTAGCAAAAATTCTTCTATCCACCCACTTAATCACACTGCATTTCAAACCTGATCCAATTTTCAGCGCATTGAAAAGCGATCATTTGGAAGGCTGGTGATCGGGGGAGTGTTCCACTGACCTGGCGCCCTGCTTTGGATGACGTTGGCAAGTTGGCACGGGCTTTTCTGTTCGCAAATGGTATTGACACATCGCGTCTCAATTCGATACTTGATTGGACATGCCGTGTTCCCCTTTCCTGAGCTCTCAACACAAACACAATGGATAGGGACATTATTCCGTGCATGTTTTTTTTTGTTTTTTTCAATTGCAGTGTGAAGCGTTGAACATGATCTTCACCGGAGCGCTGCATTGAGGATTGTGAAAGACCTGAAAGTAAAGCGTGCATGGGATGTTGTCTTCTCGTCTTCGTTGAATCTCAACGCGTCAAGTTCTTCGAGTTCCTATTTTCATTTGAGCGCTGCTTTGATGCCTTTGAGGGGAGCCATGGTGACTCGAGCAGTGCCGGACGTGAGTGAGGCGGTCTTGGCACTTCATATGGGCCATGATGCCAGTGTGGCCGTGAGCCACCGGGGCCGAGTGCAATGCGTCTTGGAGCTGGAGCGTCTCTTTGGAAAGCGCTGCTCGTAGCACATTCAAAGCACAATGAAGTCATGAGATGCTGCAAGATAAGACATGAAGTCATCAAGGCCAGATTCTTTCTCTTTTTAAACAGACCTTTAGACCTTTAGACATTTCTTTAAATACACCTTTAGTTCTTGTTCTTTAGACCTTTAAACTTTATATATATATATATGCTAGCCCCCCCCCCAAAACCTATGTTTCTGAGCGCTGGTGTGCAGTTGGTAAGCATATTTGTTCATTTAACTATGTACTACAAATATGTCCAAATCCATAAGGTTATGTGAGTTTACTAAACAGTTCTTGGATGGAGTAATCTACTTTGTATATTCAACTCTACTCTACTTTGTATATTCAAATTCAAATTTGAGTCTATTTCAATTATTTGTAAATATAGATTCTAGTTTACTATAGATTCTAATTTACTTGGGATTCAATGCAAGCCTAATTTTAATTTGATTTCAAGCTAGTTCTAACTTCATTGCTATACAAGTCAGATTCAATTCTAATAGTGTATTCTTTTTCAATTTAGTTTTAATTTGAATGAAATTCTCATTTACTTCTTCTAGAGAAGTGGTGTTACTTTGAACATGAGAGATTTTATGTAGTTTTTCCAATATAGAAGAATGTGCTTTCTTAAATGAATTAAATTCACCACCAGCAACACCCACTCTCTAGAATGACACCAAAACTGAATTAGAAGTCCATGTGCATTGAACTAGAATCAATATAGGATGAAATTAGACATATAGAAACCAAACCTAATTTGCAATGACAATAGTGTAAAATTAGATGTGTAAAACAATTGAATCTGAACCGTATAAAGGCATTAACATTAGAAATTAATTACTAGTAAATTGGAAGAGTCAAAGTTACAATTGAACCCAAAATAGAATGAAATAGAACTAAATTAGAAGTACAGTGGACTGGAATTAAATTAGAGTTGAAAGAAACACATTGAATAATAATCCATTACTTAAATTGAAATTGACTTAGAACTAAGGTAGAATTGAATTAGAGTTGTTTTACCTAGAGCTTGGTTAGTAGAACAGTATTGACTTAGAACTAAATTGGAATCTAAGTTCAGTTAGAATTGAACTAGATTTAATTTGCAATCTCAATTTGATTTCAATTATATAAAGTTCAAGTAGGATCATTTTCTATTTAAATTAGAAGCACGTTGCAGATTCAAATTTAGATTTAAGATTGAATTCCATTATATAGATCTAAAATAGCCAAACATAATTAGAATTAAACTAGAAATGAGTAAATTAGAATAAAAGCTGAATTAGAATTTGTCTATACAATGAAGTTAAGCTAAATAGACTTAAATTAGAATTCAATTAGGCTCAACTTAGGCTTAAAGTAGAACTATGTTACATACTCAAATTAAAGTAGAACTATGTTACATACTCAAATTAGAATCCATTTAAAGTTCAATTAGACTTCAATTAGACTCAACTTGGAAATTTAAATAGAAATACAAGTGATTTTAAATTGGAATAAGAATTGACTTAGAATTTAGTTAAATTGTATGTGCACTAAAATTCAGAGAAGTAAATTAGAGTTGAATTAGTTGTTAATTAGAATTGAATGAGGAACAAATGTCGGTAATCAGTAATATTCCAGGATCAAACTGTACTTAGTGCAATTTTGTCACTACCAGAGAATGCCAGAGAATGCATTCCTGCCCAATACCAAGACCAAGATCCAAGATTTGGAAAATCTTGGAAATACCAAGACCAAGACCAAGATTTGCACAGAAGTCTTGTGAAAAATCTTGGAATTGGATCTTGGATTTTGGTATTTCCAAGATTTTCCACAGGACTTCTGTGCAAATCTTGGTCTTGGTCTTGGTATTTCCAAGATTTTCCAAATCTTGGATCTTGGTCTTGGTATTTCCAAGATTTTCCACAAGACTTCTGTGCAAATCTTGGTCTTGGTATTGGGCAGGAATGCATTCTCTGGCATTCTCTCATTCTGACTGCATTCCTTCCAAAGCAACAAACAAGTCATGCAACCTACGTGCACAAATATATATATATATATATACAAATATAGATGGTACCCCAAAAAAAAAACAAGGATCAAAAGGCAACCCAAAAAAAAAAAAAAATATTGCAAATACCAGAAAAAGTGATGTGAACATTGGTTGTGGGGGGGGGGGCACCATATATATATATATATGTATTTTAAACATCAAAACGCTTTTTAGACCTTCAGCTCTTTTTCAAAGACCTTTAGACATAAAAATACCTTTCGACCCGTTCATTAGCTATTTTTGGACCTTTAGACTTTAGACTTTTTTTAAAAGTCTTTTCTTTTTTTTGGACATGTATTCTTTTGGCCCGCCCTTACTTAAGTAGGCGCCTACTGAATCTAGTTGAACCATGTTCAAACCTACCAGTCTGGGCAAAACGGTCTCATACGCCCATCTGGCTCGCCTCCCAACTTTTTTTGTAAGGATACTACAAGCCGCCTCTTCGCGATCCAGCTAATTTTCAAGCGGATTGGCAATATGCATTTGAGAAAGTCAAGCAGCAATGTGTTTTTGAAGACGGATGGCCTTCGCGCTTTGAACATGCAGTCCTCGTTGCGCCTCCAGTGCATGAGACTGAGCAAGCAATTTTGATCATGGCAGCAGAACAATTCTTCAGCTGCCCGGCTGTGCATGTGCAAGAATATGCTGCTTGCTGTGCTTAGTAGAATAAGCAACATATTGCAAGCACAGGGCGTTTAGTTGGGAAACCTCCAAGTTACGTATTTGAAAAGGCAATGTCTTCGGCAAGGTTCCACTCTCCGGTCTGAGATGTGTTTGCAAGATGGGCTTGGAGCGCTGTTGACAGGTTGGGACAGTCTCGGCAGTCTGCCGCACTGCGTGAGGTAGAGATGGCTTCTAGAGACAAGTGACGAGGTCTGGAAAAAGGACTGCTACCGTTGACAAAATCCTGCACCGCAGTGCACCATTTTCTTGAACATTGGGACCACAGCTGAATGTCCGAAATCCTGAATTCTTCTCAGAGGCGTAGCGCCAACATTGAATGAGGGGGCACAAAGATTGCTACATCACCCCAACCCTCGGGTACACTGGTGTGGTGGTGCAGGATTTGGTCCATCAATCGTACGTAGAGATCCTTAGAGATTTAAGAGTATACAGAACCATTCGATTGATATGTGAGAAAAAATTGAGATTTCTAGCAACGTAGGACAGAATAGAACTCTTACCAAAAACATACAGTATAGAAGACGAAAGGTTGCTCGACAAGAGGAATAGTAGGGATGACAAAATGTACTGCACCTTCTTTTGAGAAGGTTGACTTTTCTTCGACGTCAGCACAAACATCATTTGACAGAAGGCAAACAAAAAAGGCCGTCAGGGCAAAACTGTCCAGGACTGGTCGACCTTCTGGCGAATCGACTTAGTCGCTAATAGTTGGTTCGTGAAGAGACGTGTGGAAGCGTCACACCTTCAAAAGACAGAAAATTTCTGGAGAGACATGTAAATGCCCTGAACAAGAGTATAAAGGGTGGAGACCCGTTTCCACAGCACAACAGAGAGAAACAAACACAGGCAAGTGAAGAGGAAAGTAGAAAAAGAAGGGGCTTCCAGGTAAAAGTGTAGAAGAGTAGAGGCTGCCGATGGAAGCTCACCTTCACCACATGCCACTACCGTGACAGAAGT